AAGGAAGATGACACCTTGCGCAAGGAAAAGAGACTATTGAAGTAGCAACCGGAAGAGAATTTTAATAAAATGAATAAGGGAGATGTTTTGATGCGGCATTAGAAGAGGGTAAATTATTGGAAATCACAGTCCAGATTCAAAACTAGTATAACAAAACGATGTATTTAGAGTTTAGGATCCACATCGACACCCAGCATTAACGAAACCATGGGACAAGCCAGATGACTTAGCTAGTAACATATAACCAAAAAAGCCAATACTGCAGAATAGCACACTATTGACATAGTACAACAAACATTATTCCGATTTACTCATTGTCTCCACTACAACTGGAAGCATGTGGAGCATATCGGGCTAACAGTGCGATCAAACTTAATGGGTTTTTGACATGTGGATGATCAAGTCAACAACACGGGAGCTGCAAATCAATTTAAAACAAGAATGAGTGAGAAGTGCTATTTTAGTGTAATGTTATCTTCATCTTTTTCCCGGATGCTCGTAAGGTATCTTTTTTGGCCATCTGTTATGGTTTACAAAATTACAGTTATCATCTTAGGATGGAAGAACTGTAGCATGAGATTTACCTGTAGCCCCATTCGTTGTCATACCAGGAGACAAGCTTCACAAAGTTATCATTCAGAGCAATACCAGCCTTGGCATCAAAAATACTAGACCTGGACAATCGAAGCAAACACCACTTTAGTTAACTATTCTAGATTATGGTGCAGCTATACAGTGTGTGACGAAATGAAGACCAATGATTACTAAGAAGCATTATATCAAAATCAAACTAAGGCACTGATAAAAAAATAAAAATATCAAACAAAGGTTTGAAACAATGAAAACATATGGTAGAAGGCCATAACAAATTTCTAAAAGAAAGATTCCAACAGGTTATTCCAGGTTATAGTTACCCATTCCCAGATATTTGCTCAATCGACCATTTGTTCAATACCATCAAAGCTTCTAACAACCAATGACTCAACAAGATACTCATGGGTAACCAGCACTATTGATATATGTCAATCTTTACCTGCTATCACCAACAAAGTCTGTGGAAACCACATCATCATTGGTGAAACCCAAGATACCTTTCAGCTCTCCCTCAGATGCCTCCCTGAAAACAACCCAGATACAAAATAATATAATAATATGCTAAAATAAGTAAACAGTTGCCAATAATGCAGGCATCAGAGCCTCATCCAAAACACAAAATGAAAACTGTGCTTGAATTTCAAAAATTAACTCAAATTGAAGAAAGCTGTGACCTGCATAATACTTACTTGATAGCAGCTTTAATTTGATCATAAGAGGCTGCCTTCTCCAGTCTTACCGTAAGGTCAACTACAGAGACGTCAACCGTAGGTACACGGAAAGCCATTCCAGTTAATTTTCCATTCAAAGTAGGCAGCACCTTTCCAACAGCCTTTTTAAAGTACATCAGAACAAAAGAAAAAATAGTTAATGAGAAATTTAGGAGTTAATTTCACCATGATGCAATTATTAATATCAAGCATAATTTTGTTGGCCCCACAAACTAGCATAAATGAAGCAGGTAATAACCAACAAAAAGTTAGGAGCCCAGCGAAATACTTATCAAGAGAAAAGGAGCTCAGTGAATCACTTTTGCAAAGACAACCATTTTAAATAAGATAATATTTACTGAACCAACACACTTCAAAATTATGGAATGAAAATGAGGGCTGCTGCTAAATTCAGGAGCTTTTTACCTTAGCAGCTCCAGTACTGCTCGGAATGATGTTGAATGAAGCAGCTCTTCCACCTCTCCAATCCTTCATTGATGGGCCATCAACAGTTTTTTGGGTGGCTAAATAGAGGTTAAAATAGCACAATTAATACAGAATATATTAGTTATAACTCATGGAAATTCAAAGAACTAACCAGTGATGGAGTGAACGGTGGTCATAAGACCCTCAACAATTCCAAATTTGTCGTGAATGACCTGTAAAGCAAAAACTAATAATAATAATAATAATAATAATAATAATAATAATAATAATAATAC